TAGTATGCTCTGCTTTCTAACATACTAAATAATTTATTCATTGTGGTTCTTGTTTACTGTCTACCTTGTTCCCACCAAGGTCAACTCACAAGGCAAGGACTTGTTTCTCATGGTCACTGTGGCATAACCCAGTGCCTAGAGCAGCACTGGCACATGAAAAGCCTACGTGACATTTCTTGGATGAATGGATGAGCCTGGGAAGACCTTAGAAATGGACTAATCACCAGACCCCTCACTAGTGAAGAGCAGAGACCCAGACAAGAAAGAGTACTTGGGCTGAGTTACATACAGCCTGTTGGGAGCCACAGAGCTGGGAGAAGAACCAGGCTCCAGAATTCTAGGCCAGAGCTCAGGTCCTGTGCAGTCCAAGTTGTAATCACACCCATCAGCGAAGGTGTTTGTTGGGCTAGGTCACATTCCATTAACTACCTGTAAGGCCAGAAGCTGTGTAGCCCTGGGTGGCACAGGCTGGGGGCTTTCTTGCATCCTTCCTTGATTTAACAAACAAACAAACAAACAAAAAAACAAGGTGATGAATATCCTTATTAACAACTTTCTGTCCCAAAGGGCATCCAAAAATATGGGTTCCATGACTGAGAAAGGTCAGAGAATTTTCCTTCCTGGAATTTTTAAGGGCTGGGGTGGGAGTGAGGTAAGAAGTGTTTATGAAGCACCTGTACCCTGTCTGACTACCAGTGCACTGGAGCCTTCACATGGATCGCTCACTTAATCTTCACTTCCAAGCTGTGATGGAGGGTGGTAATAATATCTAATATTTATTGAACTATGTGCCAAGCACTGTTCTCTGTGCTCTCAGGTACATTCATTCATTTAATCTGCCCAACAACTCTGTGAAGTGGATAGCTTCTATTATGGTCTCCATGTTACAAATGAGAAACCAGGGGCAAATATGCCATAAAATAAATGCTACCATTCTGGGTGCTTGGGATGCATCAGTGAACGAAACAACTTGGAGATCATCGTCCTCATGGGGAAACTGGCAACAAGCACGATAAATAAGTAAATTATATAGGTGTGGGGTGCAATCCATGCTATACAAAAAGAAAAGCAGAGGAGGGTTGGGGCTTTGGAATAGTGGGCAAATGGCAATATTACATAGAGGGACTTGGAGGGCCTTACTGAGGAGGGGAGACTTGACAAAGACTTGAAGGAGGTGGGCCAAGCAGAATGCTTTGGGAAGGGCATTCCAGGCAGAGGGAACAGCCTAGGCAAGGCCCCAGTGCTGGAGTGCATCTAAGAAGCAACAAGGGGCCAGGGTGGCTGCAATAGAGAGAGCAAGGGCCAGAGTCTAGGAGATGGGGCAGGGAAGTGGTGGGACCAGATCACAGGAGACTTGTAGGCCCCTGCAAGGACAATTTCTCCAGTTCATCAGCTTATTCAAATGCTTACTTCATCTCAATGCTTGCATCCACTCACAGCCTCCATCTAACACCTGCCTCTCAGCTCTGCTAACACACTAGTGTTGCTTTGACACTGGCAATTAGCACACACTCATGCTCACATATACACAGAATAGCCTATGGACACACATAAACACCAGCCAATGCATACACTTGCACTCACACTGGCCAATATATACACATTCATACACACACACACACACACACTGTACTCACACTCATACACTGGGCAGTGGGCACTTACTCAGCTCCCCCGCTGGCCTTCACCTTCCACCTGCCTGCATGTGGGAGAGGACAGGAGCTGTCCTCATCAGCCTTGCTCCTTGTGAAGCCCAGCATGGCCTCTTCCCAGCTAGACCAGGAGCAGGAGGAAAGCAGGCAGTTCCTGAGGCCTCAGATCCATGTCCCCAAACAAACAGAGTTGGAGAGACTCCAAAAAAAGTACAGATGGAAGAAAGGCTGTGATTTACTTACATGTGATTTACTCACATGATTACTTCCACACTCAGATCACAAGCCCATGTGGTCATCCTCCAGGGACACTGAACGGCATTTAGTGGCTCCATTCTGTGCTGATTGTCCCCACAGGAGCTGACTGTCCCCCAGGCTTGGAGAGGGGCTGGGAAGGGGGAAGAGAGTAAACTGTTGTTTTTAGTTATTCCCAGTTAAAACCAGGACAGTGCACCTCTAAGCCGGGCCAGCCTCATCTGCAAGCTCCTGGCTAATGGGTAAATCCCATAGAGAGGCTCATCTTCCTACTCACCCCAGAGACCCTGAACCCCATGGTGACCTACCAGTGCCCTCAGGTAGCTAGCTCACCTGCCACTGTAAGAGATCCTGCCAGGGGATGGGGGTGGGGTGGGGTGGGTGGTGTTATGGTTCTCTACAAAAAAGATGACAATAGTGATGGATAAATGATAGACAGACAGGTAGATAGATAGCAGAGAGATGATTGGTAAATGACAGATGACAAAGAAGGCAAACGATCACCATACACCTTAAGCCCTCACTTAACATTGTCAGTAGGTTCTGTAACTTAAGTAAAATGATGTATAACAAAACCAATTTTGCCATAGGATACAGATTAAATTCCTACAACATCTCATGAACATTAGAACAAAACAACCATAAATGAAACAACATTATTCAATGGCCTGTCGTACATATATGATTTATTGAGTTTATATTATATGCCAATGCTTTGCATACATTATTTCTAATCCTTATATGATTCTAAAAATTAGGTTTGCAAACCACTTTTTACAAACAAGACTGAAGCTCTGGGAAGTTAAGTAACAGGGGTAAGATCATCCACCCAATAAAGTTATGAGTCAGAATTTGAGTTCAGAGCCCAGGTCACCCTGGTGTCAAATTCTGTATACTCTCAGAGTTGGGGATCTTTTGATGGCTGTGCCCTGCCTTCCCGGTTCCTGCATCCCTCTTGCTCCTCTCACCCCTATTCTGGTGATATTTTTGTGGAATTCTAGAATGTCAGAATTGGACATAGAAGAATGGAGAAAGAAAGTGATTTACCCAAGGCCACACAGCAAGCCCAAGACAGAGCCAGCCTTCGAGCCTTGTCCATTCAGGTTGGACCTGGGGATATTTGGTGGGTGTGGACAGCTCTGCTCCCCCATCCCCCACTCTGACTCCAGGGTTGGGATCGTGTCAGGGCCTTTCACTTGGCTGGACAGTGCAGCCTCCCCACTGCCCACCTGAGGTCTCACACCAGAGGTCATTTCTCTCCCCACCCCTGATAAATCCTTTCCTGGCCAGCCTGCTTGGAGAGGTACTGGTATCCAGGGAGGATCAGCAGAAACACAGCCCAGAGAAGTGCTGAGTAGGCAGCTCCTGATCACTGGCCGGAAAGGCTTATCTCTGTGGGGTGAAACAGTAGGCAAAGTGACACTGCAGCCAGCACAGCGAGCATCCGGCAGGCCACCCCATTGAGGGTCCAGCCTCCAGATATGCCTGGGGAGCAGCCCCCAAGGAAGTGCCAGTCAGTGTCCTGGTCACCCATTCATGCATAGGTGCTGAGTGTCCCCACTATTTAAAAAACAACAGTTCCCATTTGTAGATGCTTTGCCTTTATACACCATGTCCAAGAAGACACATCTCTGCAGGTTTTCTCAATAATTCTATGGACTGAGTAGCAGTATAATCATTCCCATTCGGCAGATGAGAAAGCTGAGATTCAGAGGAATGATATCTCCTTTTTCAAAGTTGCTCAGCTAGCAGATGGTGGGTCTGGATTTGAACCTGATCTTCACACATCAAATCAAACATCATTGTGGCTGCTTTTTATTGCATAAACCAAACATATTCCAAGTACTGTACTCAGTATTGAACAAATACTGTATTTAATTTCTACAACGATGCCATATGGTCCATTTTATTAACCCATCGTGCAGGCAAACAAAACTGAGTGAGGCTCAGGGATATGAAATGACCTGCCTACAGTGCACAGTAAGTCAGCTTTTTTCACCATAGCCCAAATTTAACCCCAGAGCTTGATACCACTCATTTCTTCAAGAAATTTCTGATTTGACAGAAGGAGGGGATTATAATTGGGGGAAAAGGCAGGTCCCCCAAACTCACCCATGAAATGACTGAAAACTTCATTTCACCTTGGTTTCTTCTCTAAAGGGTCCTCATTGACTCTGCCATTGTCACTGAAACAGAACCAAGTGTTTATGGTTCACTCATCTGTTGCCAAGCACCATGCTAAGTGTTTGACACCCATTACCCCACAATCCTGACAATAGTCCTACCAAGTAGGTACTAGAATTCCTATTTGAATAGGCAAAGAGAGTTGAATAATCCTTCTCAGGCCACACAGCCAGTCATTAGCAGAGTCCAGGTCCAGTGGATACCACAGTGGATGCTGGGAACCACTAGGCTCTACCTTACACAACCTCTTTGCCTTTGCATTAGACTCATGCCAAGTTCTGCTTAGAGCCTCTGGAGCTGCCCTGTTCTTCACCCACTGGGGCAAGGATATGGCCAGGGGCCACCCTACCCCATGCAGGTCCTTCCCCAAATGCTGCCGACCATCCCAAATCTGACGGGGCCAACCAAGCCCATGGCCAACAGAACCAAGAAGCTCCTGCCGATGGGGACTTCCACCCACATATGTGTCAGCCACACTGAAGCAATAAATATGGTTCCAACAACCTCTGCTCTTCCTGCCCACCTGGCAGGGTTTGCTTTGGGATGACATTTTCTTACCATTGTCAAAATTGTGCTAAAATGTAGACAACATAAAAATTGCTATTTTAACCATTTTTAAGTGTGTAGCTCAGTGCCATTAAGTACATTCACACTGCTATGCATCATCACCGCCATTCAGCTCCATGGCTTTTTCATCACCCCAAATGGAAACTGTGCACCCATTAAACACCAACTGCCACCCCCTCCCCCCAACTCCCTTCTACTGTCTGTCTCTATGAATATGACCACCCTAGATGCCTCATAAAAATGGAAACACAGTGTTTGTCCTTTTGTGTCTGGCTTATTTTCACTTTGCATAACGTTCTCAAGTTCCCTCTATGTCATAGCATGCATCAGGATATGGCCTTACACAACATGGAATGCTTCTTGAATTTGTGTGTCTTCCGTGTACAGGGCCACACAAATCTTCTCTGTATCATTCCAATTTTAGTATATGAGTAGCCAGGGAGAGCTCTGTGATAACAATTTTGAGGAGGCTGGTGCTGTAGGTGATTTTGCCCCTGGGTGGTACAAACTTCCAGCAGGGGAGAACTGTCTGATCAGGCTCATCACTGAGCAGCACTGACCTGGGGTCTGTGTGTTCTGGTGGGGGTTCTTCGCTCTGCATACTCCTGAGTTTATAACAACGTATGATTGGTCTGCGTTTTTTCTGTAAATGATGAATTGTTTTTGAGCAAGATTTTCTCAGCTCCTCAAGGAGAAAAATGTCAATAATCTTCATCATCGTCATGGTTATTGGGACACTGAATGGCTCTGGGAGGGGAGCAGAAGGGGCTGCCACATCTCCATGGCACTTAATTTCTCACACTCAGCACAGGAGGTTGATACTGCTATCCTCACTACACACGTGAGCAAATTGAGGTTCAGAGAGAGGAGAAATGACCCAGAGTCACACAGTTGGTTGGGGGGCAGAACCAGCTTTCCAAGAGAGATTTCTGTTTGATTACAAAGCCCATAGCTTTTCCTCTGAGACACATCAACCCAGTTCTTGGGGCCTGGGAGCTAAAGACAGTTAAATGCAGAGATAAGTTCCACATTCATAGAGACTTGGATGAGGAGAGACAGAGAGAATGAGAAAGAGAGAGAACGATAAGGAGGGGGGCTGCTGCCGTCAGCTGAGGAGCTTGCCTGAGTCTCTCAGCCTGTAGTGGTAGAAATGCCACTCCAGGGGAATAGACAGGGTGCAAAATGGCTTAATAACAACCCTCAGGACATTGCAGGGCATACCCATTGACAGCCTGCTCAGTGGAAGCCACCATTGGGATACAGCTTCCTATGGGGCCTCACCAGAAGTGTGATATCTGTTTGGAGGAATGTGGGGTCTGACCCAGTTCTCTGTGCTCAGACCTCCTGGGAAAGGAAGGTCAAAGACAAAGGTTGTATGATCAGCAGGGAACAGCCAGGATGCAAGCTGGAAACTGTCCCAGAGAAATCGTCAGGAGGAATGCAAATGTTAATTCTGGAGAATCAAAGACTGGGTGGGTTGAGGGAGCTGCAGCATAATTTGGGAAGCACCAACATATGTTAAAGAAAGAAACACCTTGTTCTGGGTGTCCCCATGGGGCAGAGTTGGGGCTGGCTGAAGGAAGCAGCAGCTGTCACTACAGCCTGATGTAAGCAGGGATTCTGGGCCACTAGGGGCTATGTGAAGCTGGGCCCAGCATGTCCCTGGAAGCAAGAACACTGACAGCCAGAGCGCACACTGAGCACTCACTATGGACCAGTCATGGTTCTAATCACAGGCACCAACTCATGCAGTCCTCTCAGCAATCCTATGAGCGAGGCCTCTCATCTCTTCCCTTCACAGGGAGGTTAAGTGGCTTGCCCAAGGTCACACAGCTAGTAAGTGACAGCTCTAGGATTTGAACTCTGTTGGTCCACTGCTAGCGCTCATGCTCTGACCCCTGGCTTTATCCTCTCCATGAAGGAATGCCATGGAGCAGGGTGCAGCTGCCACCCTGACACTGCTGTCTCTGCCACACATAGGGGCTGCTGATTCCCCAAACACTGGCCAGGCAGCCGGATCTGCCATGCATCCTAAGTCAGGGAGCAAAGGCTGTGCCTGGAGAGGTCACATCTTTACCTCTCACCAGGTGGGAGATGAGTACAAAGGTAGTCTGCTGGAGCTTGGCTCACTTTGACCTAATTTCCAGTGAACTCTTCAATCACTGAGCCAGAGCTTAACTAACACTGTCACCATGTATCTTCTGGAAAAGACTTCTAGAGTCACATGGGGCAGAAAACACATCCCACTGTGGGTGTTGAAGCCGTGATGTCTTCCTGCTGGCCCAGCCAGGGTCCAGGCGCAGCCCAAGTCTCTCAGTTCCTAGCTCACACAGGCTTGCCAGCCACACACCCCGAGGCCTGGATTTCCATGATCAGAGATTTGTGTCCTTTGGTTCAGCATCACCCACCCCTTTATGTAACAAACCCTCAAGTTGAGCTGATCTGCTAGACACTGGCCTAGGTCTGTGGGATGGGTGTTGAGCGCCCTGCCTCAGATTCTCGATCATGTTGAGTGTGGCTCCTCTACTTGCAGACAGGGCATAGCCACTGCCAATCAGACAGAGTGACTCAGGGTACCTGGGTCTCCCTGTGTTCCCAGGAGAAGCAAAGGTAGTGGGGCAGCAACCCATGGACCTTCTCAGAAGTTGGTAAGAGGCTTCTGATCCTTGGAGGCCTCAAAGAATCATTCCAGCTCCATGACCATCCCTGTGTGAGGAGCAGCCACATGCCTTTCCCTGTCATCACTCAGAGCGATGAGTTTAGGCAAGGCTAGCAGCCCGCACCAGAGGAAGGGATCCTACCACTTGTACTAGTAATTCCAGTCATTCTAACTGCTCCCTGATCCCTGGGCCAGAAACAACAAATCTGAGACACATGCTCTCCCAGACTCATAGCACTGTGTCCCAGTGAATTTGAATACTGCCTGAAAATCCCTCTCAACATGGGCACCCAGCAAATCCTTGGAGTTGGAACGTAAGACTGACTATTCAGTCTTATGAATATATTCATAAGCCCTCCAGAACCTGGCTTCTGCCTACTCCCTTGGTGACCTAATTTTCTACCACTCTGCCTTTCCCTCACTCTGTTCTGGCTGTACCAGCCTCCTTACTCTTTCTGTCTCAGTGCCTTTGCACTGGCAGCTTACTCTGCAGAGAAACTACCTACAGATATCCACATGGCTTCCTTTCTTCCTACAGACCTCCCATAAGCATTCAGAAGAAGCAAGAAAACCCTCATCACTCACTGGAATCCCATCTGCACCTCTAATTTATCCATGTGACTTCAGGGCAATCAAGCTAATCACTGTCTCTAAAATAAGGAGCATAATTAAGAAAAGCACTCCCCATGGTCATCATGAGGATTGAATGTTGAGGTAATATGAAAGTGCTGGGTTCAAATCTTACCTAAACATGAACATCTCTCCCTGTGAGACCTTGGGCAAGTCACTTAACCTCTCTGAGTCTGAGTTTTTTCACCTGTAAAATGGGGATTATAATAGTCCATCCCTCATAGTTACTATGAGGATTACATTAGTTAGTTGGTACATGTAGCTTAATCAAAACTGTTTGACATGTATCAACATGTGGTAAGAGTTCGATCAACATTAGCTGTCATTGTAGTAGGATAAATACTTTCAATTGCTATCAAACAGTCCAACTCTAAGACTTGCTTCCTGCTAAAATCTGATTCTGCTCAATTCAGTTCAAGGTACTACAGTATAGGGAAGACCACACTCAGTAGCTTGGCAGATCTGGCTTACAACAGTGGCTCAGCCCCTTTCCAGTTGTGTGAACTTGAGCAAGTCACCCATCTGCCTAAACCTCAGTTTCTTCATCTGTAATGTGGAGGTATTTATTCCTACCTCTTGGGTCAGTGTGCAGAAGCAAAGAGACCCTGCCTGTCAAGTGCTCAGCACATGGTAAGCAGTCAATCAATTGTGTACCAGATAGACACAGCCACATCTCCACCACTGCTTCCAGTTTGTGCAGGGAAGCAAACAGGCCCCTTTGGGGCTTGCAGGAAAAGGGAGAGACTGGGGAGCCAGAACTGCTCACCTTGGTTTAATGAGGCCTTTTCCTGTGCCCTGAGGTCTCGCATCTGGCCAGAGAGGTTGGCACAGGCCAGTGGTTCTGTGAAGAGTCAGTAATGAGGGTGCAGAGCCAGGGAAGTTCAGTGGGGAAGCTTGACATGGCTTCTCCAAATTAGTGCTGGGGCCCAGCAGGCAGCTGTGCACCATCAGTGGGGGTGGGGGAGGGAAGAGCACCTAAAACATAGTCACTGAAAGGGGGATGGAGGCTGGAGATTAAAAAGGTGGCATTTGCTGACGATTCCAGGGAAGCAAGAATTGCAGTTCTTGTATAGTCATGAGCACCAATTTCTTCCTCTTACACAAATACACACTTACCTGCTCTTATCTGTCACACACCTATGTGTAACAGTAACAGACTCCTCAGGTTCACCTCATCTCATCTAAAGGTGGCCATATTAATCAGAAGAGGCTAATTACTGTTGCAAACGCATTCAAGGCTCGGGTACAATAGAATTTGACTTTTGGCTCTCCTAAGAGTCCAGGGTGGTATACCAGGTTAGTCAGGATGACTTCTTCACTTGGAGACTCAGGCACCAGGTCTCCACCACCCCTTGGGCCTTGTTGTCACAACACCCAGGGTCCAGCCAGCAGAAGGGAAAAGAGGAGGGACAGGTGCTTCCTCTCTTTTAAGGCCTGGCCCAGAGGTCACACATACTACTGCCAACACATTTCATTTGCCAGAGGATAGCACTTGGACAGCCCCAACTGCAAGGCAGCCTGGGGAATGTAGTCTGGAGTGAACTCAGAAAAGGGGGAGAGTGGACTTTGGTCATTAGCTCACAGGCTTTGGGTGGAGACTCTGAGGGTCTCTCCCATTCCCATTCCTGGATGCCACAAATGCTTTTAATGGTAGCACTTAGGAAGGAGCAGGCTTGGCCTGCAAGTGTCTCTGGAAGAGGTCACATGAGGAGGAGTCATCTCAGAAATGTCAGGGGACATATGGAAGTCTCTGGAAGCAGGGTGGTTAAGGCAGTGGGTGGGAGGAGGCAGAGCAGTGACCAACATTGCCTGGGATCAGAATCTTTACAGACCTTATATACATGAACACCTACTCTCTCTCTTTCTCTTTCTCTCTGTCACACACACACATGCTTACAAATAACCACACACTCAATTTGCAAGGTACTTAGACATACACAGACATGCCCCCACACACTGTCACATGCATGCACATGCATGTGCCTACACACCTGCACTCACACACACCAAACACTTATCTACATCACATCCATAAACATTGTCGGGTGGCCATGCGGTGAGCCTTGAGGATACAGGGAGATGCCTCACTGGACACTCCTCATACCAGCCAGTGTCTGAGAGTCACCATTAGCTAGCCCTCATGCTGAAATAAGAATCTC